GGGCAAAGTGGCCCAGCCCTGTGCAGGAGGAAAAGAGGCCATGGATACCTTATCTCAGGGCAAGAACTGGGCAGAAACAACCCAATACACACTTTCCCTGACATGCTGGTAAGCCAGCTGCTTCACCATCCCATCCCCTACAGCTCAGAGCCCAATGAGAAGTGGTACACTTGTGAGCATGTGCACAGGAACACACACACACACACACACACACACACACATGAACACACACACCCTCAAGGTCTTGCTCATCAGTGCCCCCACTTGTATTCAGCCATCCATCAGGAGCAGGAAACAAAACCCAGGTCTTTACAAGTGGGGAATCCTGGCCTCTCCTTGGAGGTTGAATGATTTTATGGTAGTGGCAATTTTGAGCAGCCAGCAAAACAAGACAAAGGTCTTGTTTGGTTTATCAAGCTGGTTCCACCCATTGTTCAGTCAGCCAAGCGGTGTTAATCAGTACCCAGATCTCTGAATAGAATTTTTACTAAATAAATCTGTGAAGACATTCTTATTGCATAATAACACAAGTATTATATCTGGTGGGAAAGCAGAATCACTACGATGTTAGGCAAAAATCTCTCCTTATCTATGAAATATAGTAATGTCTGCCCCAGAGATATAAGCACTTTTTAATTCTTTGAGGGGAAAATCTGTAACAGCTGCTAAAATGATGCTAAACAGGTCTTTCTGGAAAAGAAGGCATCGTGAGTAAAAGCACCAAGAGAAACCCCTCTCCCCAGTCCTTTTTATAGCTCCATGAAAACACACAAGGGGGAAAAAATTGCACAATTTCAATGTTTTAACTTTTAAAAATCATGTATCAAAATTCAAGAAGGCAAGGGAGTCCTAATTACAACACTCAGGGGGAAGGTTATGAAATCCTAATAGTAGTTGATAAGTGCACAACCTACTCAGTGAAACACACAAATCTTTGACCCGGCTATGTTAGAAGATCACCGGCAGTGTGATAAGAAACCTCGGACACACCTCTGAAAAGGCAGAAGGTCATTAGAGCCAGGTCATTAGAGTCTCCCCACTGACACTCTCTGAGAAACCCGGCTAGAGCAGGGACTACAGATGATCAGCGCTGTTTAGAGAGGGTTTGCCTTGATGGTCCAGGATTATGGTGCAGCCCACTCTGCAGGGCTCTCATCCTCCCACCTGGTTGTCAAAACAAGGCTGTGTGTTCTCAGGAATGTAAGATGTTCTGTTTAATATGGAAAATGATCCTCCCAAGACCTGGGAAGAAATGAAAAAGCAGATTTCCTCTGCAGTATTTATGATAAAAATGGCAATACAAAGTCCCAAAGGACTCCAAGAGAAGGGAGAGTTGGATAGGAACAGGTGCATAGGAAAGATTGGGAATTTGTGACTTCAGATGGTTGCATTGTTGTTTAGTTGCAGGTGCCTACAGGATTAAATCGACTCTGAGGATGATTCAATTGAAGCTTCCCTCACATTCTCGTCTTTTAAGGGTCTTATGAAGATAGGTGGGAACTGCTTAGAAGGAAGGTGGGAGAGAGAAAGCACTGGGATTTTTCTTTTCTTTTCTTTTTTTTTTTTTCAGAGTTGTTGGTTTGTTTTTATTTATTTATTTATTTTTTTATTGTTGGTCGTTCAAAACATTACACAGTTCTTAATACATCATCTTTCACAGTTTGATTCAAGTGGGTTATGAACTCCCAACTTTACCCCGTATATAGAATTACTACCCTTAGTGGGTGGTGCACACCTGTAATCCCAGAGGCTTGGGAGGCTGAGACAGGAGGATTGTGAGGCACTAAGCAACATAGCAAGACTGTATCTCTAAATAAAATACAAAATAGGGCTGGGGATGTGGCTCAGTGGTTGAGTGCCTCTGAGGTCAATCTCCAGTACCCCACTCCACACCAAAAAAAAAAAAGAAGAAGAATTACTACTCTCAACAGCAGGAATGAACTTTATGAAGGATGGGCATACAATGAAACCTGCTGCATCTAATTGGGCTTTTCTAAATCTCAGCCCCTAGACTCAGAAGTTGTGAGATCTTAAAATCTCCAGATCTCCATTTCCTCATCTATAACCTACCTCAGAATTGTTACAAGAATTAGTTAAACGAAGTTCAGATTTCATCCTAGCATATGGTACAAGGCATCCAGGAAACAGTAGTTATTATTATGTAGTTGTCTTTTCATTGTTGATTCCTTCATAAACTCTAGAAATTTTGTGCAGATGAATCAATATTATGGGGGCCGGGGTTGTGGCTCTGCGGTAGAGCACTTGCCTGGCACATGTGAGGCCCTGGGTTCAATTCTCAGCACCACATACAAATAAATAAATTAAATAAAGGTCCATTTATGACTAAAAAAAAATTTTAAAGAATCAATATTATGAAAATGAATATGTAAGTAGGCAATGCCCAGTTCCCCAGTTTTGTGATAAAGTGCTGAACCCCACGTGACCCTTGCTCGTGCAGTTCTAAACAGGTTGGAATCCCATAAGATCCAACTGGTAAATGTCCACCATGATATAATGGGAAGGGCCAGGGGGTCACGTCAGGCACACCCACGTTCCAATTCCACAATGACAACCACCTTGCCCCGTAACCACGGAAACCTCACTCAGAAAATAGCATAGGAAGTTTGAAAAGCGTTTCCATGTTTTGATAATTTTGTGACGTCATGTTTTCTTTCTATAGTCAGTTGTATTTCAATAGCAAGACCTGCCATTTAAAAAATAAAAATAAGAGCCCGTCCCCAGCAGCCAGTCCTGTTGGATGCCATCCATCCAGAAATCTCTAACAAGAGACCTGATGAAGTCGGGAGTGGTGTCGCATGCCTGTTATCCCAGCAGCTGGGGAGGCTGAGGCGGGAGGATTATGGGTTTGAAGCCAGCCTCAGCAATTTAGTGAGGCTGTAAGCAACCCAGTGAGATTCTGTCTCAAAAATAAAAAGGGCTGAGGATGTGGCTCAGTGGTAGAGCATCCCCAGGTTCAATTCCTGGTACAAAACACAAAAAGAAAAAACCTGATGAAAGGCAACCAAAAAGATGGGAGGAGATATATATAAGTCAGCCACAGGGAGAAATTGTGTGATATGCTTAGCTTATTCCTGTACAGGAAGCCAAATGCTGAACAGAGACCTCCATGTAATTAAAGAGACAGTAAACCAGCAGGCACTCACCATTTCCTGAAATAGATGGGAAGGGGACACTTAGTGAGAAGAGTTACATCAGGACAAATCATGACACTGCTTCACACAAAATATAACAAACCTTAAAACTCTTTGCCCTAAGAGGAACTTCAACTGGAAGTTGAGGTAAAATACAGGAGAGCACCCAGTTACATATTCATTTCAAATAAATAAAATTTTAGTGTAAAAATCATATTGCCATGTTATACTACTATATTTGTATTTACTGTTAACAAAGATTACTTTTTTATTTATCTGACATTAAAATTTACGTGGGTGTCCTGTATTTCATCTAACTCCAGCAATCCTATTGGAGGGGGAAGCCAGATGGGAGGGGATATAGAAGAAGGAAAAAATTCCCAAGACTGAACAATAAAATGTACAGAAGAAAAAGTAAAGTATGAAACACAACAAAAGGTTTGTGTTTTGTGTATACATGTGGCTGTGCGTGAAACCCAGGGCCTCTACCACTGAGCTACACCCCCCAGCCCACGTATGGGTCTTAAATCATAAACAATGAACTTACCAGTGTTTAGAAAGAGAATGTAAAAGGTTCATCCTGAGACTTTCTACACTGTAGGATAATGCCTTTCACAGGGAGCAATTCCCTTTCTTTAACCCTCTGTCTCTGGGATGTTTTTTGGTAACAAACCTCAGGCCATATGGGCCAAGGTCAAGGCCATCATGAGAGTTTCCATGCTTCGCCCATCATCTGCTTGTCCACCTTCTACTCTCCCAGAGGCCATCCCCAACCAGGAAGAGCCTGTGTAGCCTGGTCTTCCATCCGCAGCCACTACTGAGCCCCAGGATCCGCAGAGACAAGAGCAGTGGCAGGAGGAGGGAAAGTTGAATGAACACCTGAATCAGCCCCTTCCTTCAATAGCCTGCCCCCAGCATTCCTTACCTTCTCCATTTGCCTTATGAATCTCCTTAGTTTCTCTCCACCTGACACCTGGACCCAGAGACTTAATGCATGTCAGGTCGTCTGGACAGAGATGAAACTTTTCCAGGGCAAACAACCATGACCCCTTGTCTCTAAATGCTTCTTGCCTCCCTGTACATATCCTGGTGACTTTTGTCACTTTGGGAGCAAGGTTTTCCCCAAAATGGGAGTTCCATGTCAGAAATCATTTTTTTTTAACGTGTAATCCTCTACAGATGGGTGAGGAGGGACATGTCCAGCACACACACTGACTTTGGCCTGTATAAGTTTAGGTATCTGATAGTGTTTGGTCCTGTCCAGGAAGTAGCTAGACCATGAAATCAGATATGGGGAGGAAGTCAGTTTACAGAGGGCCCCTCACAACAGAGTCTTCAGGGAGTCAGGGAGACAGGAATGCCACTAAGCTGAAGGGCTGTGCATATAGGGACAGCCAGAGGAATCCTGGGCCGACCCGTGTCCCTCTGCCTCCAGGAATTGAAAGTACCCCACTCAGGTATTACCACAAGTCCAACCAGAACTACAGAATTACTCCATCCACTTTAAGGAGAAAGATGCCCAGGGAATGTATGTGATTCTCTAGTTCTTAAGGTTTAGCCTTCCAGTATTTATTTAATGGACTAAAACACATCAGTTAGCACATTGATGTCAGAAAACTTCCATGACCATTGTGACAGTGGACACAAGATGGTGAGATTTAATACCACCACCACCACTCCACCCTACCCTTACTCACAACTAACAAGGGCTTCCTAAGTCTTTTTTTTTTCTCTCCCCTTGATGCTTTGTTGGTGGTAGGTGCTTAGCAAATATTAGTTGAATGTCTGAATGAAGAGATGAATGCATGAATTGGAGACTCGAAAATCTTGACTCTATGAGAATTGTACCTGAAACCAGGAAACGAGGCAGTGTAGGAAAAGTCCCAGAGTAGACTTAGTTTCATTCACCACACTCTCGTCTTGTGATCAGGACAAGTCATTTAAACTCCATGACCTTCAGCTTCTCTGGCTGTCAATGGGAATAATCTCTGCCTTAATAAGTGGTTTGGAGAAGCAAGGGAGATTTCATATCTGAAAGTGCCTTTATGACTGACAATAGACCATTGTATAGATGTAAGAGAATCAGATGGGATTCCAAACCCAGGGCTCTCCACCTTGGGCTCTGTGATCTCGCTCAAGTTAACCTACCCAGGCCTCAGTTTTCTCATCTACAAAATGGTAGAAATCATCCCACCAACTTCACTGAATTGCCATAGAAGTTAAATGAGGCCATATGCACACTCATTGCTTCTCTGGTGAGTTTCTCTTCTCTGGGACGCCATTCTCTGTATTTTCTAAATGGATTATTCTTTTTTGTTGCCTGGACTTGTTTCTCTGCCAACTCACCAGTGGGCAAGTAAATTAATTAGGTGATAAGTGATTCTTTGATCTTCCTAATATCATTATTATTTGATGATGACTGTTAAAGCAGGTGGCCCTCAGATTGGCCATAGGTCACGCAGGCAGCAGCTGCAGTGGTAACTGGGGATTGTTTCCTTATCAGGGACCTGCCACCCAGGTGTTTCCTCATCTTCGGATCCGCCCTCTAGGTTTCCTCAAATTGTGTCTTTCAGATAGTACGTACCCTTCAGAGCCAAGCTTTGAAGGGGCTGACCCTGGAGAGCGTGAGGAAGTCCTTCACAGTGATGGCCTAGCCACCCTCTCAGGAAAATGCAGTGACCTCTCCCCTCCTCCCTCTCCACGCCCAGATCCTCAAGCAACAGCAAAACCCAGGGAGCCAGCCCTGCCACTAGAACCCAGTTCCTGTCACCTCCAAAAACAGCCCGGTTATACCAGGCAGTTTGGTTTTTGTTTTGTTTGGGGGTTTTTGTTGTTGTTGTTGTTGTTGTTGTTTTTAAATCATTTTAAGATTCTTGAACAGTATGGACTATTTATTTCTCTTCCTAAGCTGCCATATCAATTTATAGGCTGCTTCTTTTGTCCCGTTTTTGCACAGGACACACTCTTATGGGCAGCATAGAAGATGCTCCTGCCAGTGCCGGGTTAGAAGCCCTCACAAGACAAAGTCTCAGAGAGGGTCACACCAAGGGTGCCATGACCTCTGTGCTCGTGACGATAGGCTGGGACCTCTCATCCCCAAGTCCTGGGACAAAGTCTCCCGTCCTTATCGCTTGTTTTCACTGAGGCTAAACCCATCTGCTCGCTCTGTGGACAGATTTTAAACTCCTCTCACAAATCAGTGCTTGGGATGAAGCCAGCCCAGGTTCTGCACTTTGTCCGGGTCTCAGCGCCTCGCCCGCTCCATATTAAAAATAGCTGTGTCTAGTCCAGCAAGATCAGATCCAGGAGGCAGGCGCCTGCTCTCCTAATCTCCAGTTCACAAATAGCTCTCGATGGGCTCGAGCCTCGATCAACACCTCCAGGGGCTCTAGTTATAACCCAGGGCCCTGCCTAGTTACCTCTAAAGGTAGGCTCTGCTCCGCTCTCCTGGGCCTGCCCCTGAGGTCAGCGTGAGGCCCGCACGCGCCCATTCCTACCAGGGGCCACTGATGTCCTGCAGAACAGAGAAGCCGTGAAGAGAACCCCCAACGCTTAGGGTATGCTGCATTTCCCAGGCCAGAACCTACAGAAACTCCCCTTGACACTCAAACTCAACCAGCCGTGGTGAACAGGCTGCCCCTCCCCCTTCCCCTCCCTCCTCCAGTTCCCCCTCCCCGCCCTCATTTCCACCTCCCTTCCTCCCCAGGCCCATCTTGTACTCCTTGAAAAACCAGAGGACTTTGGTTGCTACGGGAACCAAGCCTTTTATTCCATTCCAGTGACTGGCTGGTTGGGGCTGAGGAGTGGGGCAACAACTGGTGCCCAGGCCTTTGGAAGTCCCCCACCACCCCACCTTTTTTCCAAAGGAGGAGGGGTAGGCTGCACCCCATTGCCTTTTCACCCAAGCCCAGCTGGGTGGGACGGAGCCCTTGGGCTCTCAGGAGTTCCCTGGCTGTGGCTCAGGGAGATCAGTGCTCCCCAAGCCCTCCTCTGGCCCTGGCCCTTTCCAGAGGACAATAGCCTCCACGCCAGGGAAAATTCCATCGCCCAGGGTTCAAGTCTCCAAGGAGTTGCTGGGGCCTCGGTTGAGCCTGGAGTGGGCTCTGAGGAGCCGCTTGCAGCTGCCCGCCACCACCCCCTCACTGAGTTTTCTGTTTAACCCCTCAGCTGCCAAGGATTGTCTTTCCCTAACCAGTGCCTGGGAACTAAGAGAGGAAAGAAATAAGGCTTTGTTCCTTTGGGGGAACTAATTGGGAGAGACAGGCAGTGTAGCCAGCTCAGCACCTTAGGGAGTGAGGCTCCTGCCCCCACAGCTGCACACACATCTTCACCCCGACCCATGCCCAGAAGGCTGGGAGTGAGGTGGGTGCTTCCCAGGCTGCAACTGCACCCGGGGTTTGGAGGAAAAGCAAGGGCTGCTTCTTCGTAACTGCCAGAGCAGCTGAGAGCCATTTTCTCAGGCTCAGAAGATGTTCAGAAAATAAGATGTTGGGAGCTGCAACTTTTTCCTATTTCAATCCCCCAAACCAAGGCCTGCTTTTCTTTTCTACTATTTCTTCCCAGATCTGCATAAGGAACTGCATAAGAAACTCTGGAACAAAAGTAAGCAACAGGAAAGTTAAGACATGATAAATACTAGGTTTATAAATGAAAAATAACTAGCAATCCCTCTTACAAATTATTAAAAAAAAATTGTTGCTGTAGTTTTAAGAATTTTCTTCATTACAAATCACCTAGAAGTGAATAAAAAGTTTGGTGCATGGTGATTTAAGATTGAATGAATTCCAGGTACAGATCCATAAAGAAATGAAGGATTATTTTGATCCCAACTAGAAAAAGAGCAGATTGCTAAGAAATCCTCCATCACCCGTGCCCAGTGCCCACCCAGGGCACTCAGGTCATGACTGCTCCCTACTCACCAGGGAATTTGGGAAAAGAAAATGTTCTCATGCAGCAGACAATGGCACAATGGCCATCTCTGTACTGGGACACATCTGCTTCACTCCTGGAAAGACGCTCTCTGACCCAGGTAGTCAGAGAGGTAAGGAAGAGGACAGTTATGGACTGACACAGAGCCCACAGGTTCATGTTGGTGCTGGAAGAATGCAGATTGGTGTGCAACACAACTCAGCTTTATTAAAACTCAGTGCTGTTCAGTTCCCTATGTGTGCTGCTGTAGCTCGAGTTCACCCCCTAGTAAATCCTGCTGACACAGGGCCCACACTGCAACGGTCCACCCTTCCTCTGATGTGGCAAGTCTACATTTTTAGGAAGCTGTTGGGCAGAAGGAGGCAATTCAGAGGTCAAAAGTATCTACATGCCTTTTAGAGCTGAGGTTTAGCTCCCACCCTTGGAATGTCCCAGGAAAGACATTGAGAACTAGAGCAGCTAACTGATAAAGATGGAGTTGGGCTGGTACCCAGCACCTTTGAACCTGGCCGGGGCTCCCATTCCCATTATCCTACATTCTGCTCTGCCTTAGGTCCAAGCATCTGGAGCCCCCAGCCTGCTCCTCAATCCATACCCTCAGTACAGCAGCCAAGCCAGAAGGGACACGGGAAAGGTCTTTAAGGAGTAGACACTGTGCACAGCCCTGAAACAGGCCATCTCAGGGTGGGTTCCCTGCCACTCGTCCTATCTGAAGAGACACCCCTACAACCCATCAGTGTTGAGTCTGCATTGGGCCATCCATATTATTTCTTTCAGCTCTAAAGGCAAACTTCTGGCTTCAGGGAGACCGGCCAGGATTAAGGTGGAGCCTCAATGTGGCTCTATTCACAGCCCTAGCAAAGCCTTTAGTTGGTGCCAGATTCTTGTCGAGTTGAATAGAATGGAGGAAAGCTAACGAACCCACCAGAATAGCAATGGCTAACACTGGCAGAGCCGGCACCCAACCAAGACTCTTCTGAACGCTTTATGTGTATTCATTTATTTTCCCTTCATGATAACCCTAAAAATAAGTACAAGTATTTTATTTTTTTTCTATTTTATTTTACAGATGAGGAAACAGAAATAAGGTTACAAACCAAGCCACCAAACTACTCCCTCCCCCCCCGCCCCGAAGGGACCCCCATCAGGAATCCTACATTAATTTGCCCAGGATCCTGTCCTAACAAACTCGTGTCCACACTACATCACCCTGCTTATGTGCTCCAGGAAGAAAGATGCAGGGGCCCTCCCAGATGCTTAGCATGCTGGGCATGTGGGTTAATTGGGCTAATGTGGCATGGAAGTCAGGAGACCTGATTCCCATTCTGGCTCTGCCTGGAGCTCCTGGGCTCCACTGTCCTCCCTGGTCAGTCACACAGTGGCTAAGATCTCTCAGGGCCCTGCCTGTTCTCAGATTCATGACAGACAGCACATGTTGGCGTCAGGACAGGCCCGAGACGGAGCAAACCTGAGAAATAACTGCGCACATGAGCCTTGGTGTGCACGTTCCACTGTTTTGGGAAATATGTGCTGTTTTGATTCGTGTCTGCTTGGGTCATGAATAAGTCTGGGGGGTGGGGGGAGGGGGCAAGAACCTTTTCCAGCTAATGAAATGAGGCTTCTTGGAGGAAGAAGACTTTCTTAGTCACACTTCCTGTTTCACACTGACCTTTTAAAAGGAAACCCACAGTCAACCTGTGCTAAGACCTGCCTACAAAATCTACCCACAGGTATAATAAGGACGATCTAAATAAAGACCACAGTGGGCCCCGCTTCACTGAATCAGTGGAAATATTAAGATCACGCAGAAGGGCTGATGGGCTGAGATAAGGGGCGTGGGGTGTTCCGTACTCTGTGCATAACATCGACACGAGCGATTTCAGCGGTTATTAAACAGAAACCTAAGCAGAGAGGCAGAGAGAAAGCAGGCGGCAATCTCGTCATTGGTCTCTATGTACTTAGGGCTTAGCCTCCAGCCATCAAAAGGAGGCCCTAAAAATTAAAGGAGATGCTTGGAGAGATTTCAAAAGAAGTCCTGTTGACTAGGTTGTAAAATTAATTATGGGAATTTTT